TGTTTAACTCAGAACACAACATTCCTATCCCAGGACTCTTAACAAGAGGCAATTTTCCTCTAACTTCTCCCACGTAAAGCTTTTTTGGGGGACAGGATTTCTCTGTGTAACAGCCCTAGTTGCCCTTGAACTAGCTCTTTTTTGTTTGTTTTTGTTGTTTGAGACTGGGTTTCTCTGTGTAGCTTTGGCTGTCCAGGAACTCACTCTGCAGACCAGGCTGGCCTCAAACTCACAGAGATCTGCCTGCCCCTGCCTCCAAAATGCTGGGATTAAAGGCGTGCACCACCACCACCTGGCTTGAACTAGTTCTTGAGACCAGCCTGGCCTCGAATACACAAGAGATCCGGCCACCTCTGCTTCCTGAGTGCTGGGATTAAAGGTGTATGCCACCATCACCCGGTCAGGCAAAACTTTAATGTATGCATTATCAATAGTGTAACTGAGGCAGAAGTAGAGAGAAGGCAAAGTCATGGCTAAAGAAAAATATACTCCAGTGTGAAAGACCAGAAAAAAGAAGCATGGTCTCCTGACAGTTGCAACAGCTGTCTCCCTGTGTGTGAGATGTTTCCTAATATTTATTACATCAATTGTTTTATGTAAATTCTTGCTGTATGGAGCTCTGTCTATTGCAAATACTGCATTTTTAAAAATCCATTATCTTGCTGTTGAGCATATTTGTTTACATTCTGGTTTACAGCTCTTATGATTCTAGTTTCCAAGACCAAAGTAGAAAGTGTAGAGGGTTGGCGGAGATGGTTGACTGTGCGCAGGGGAGTATCATATTTGTTCTTTTTTCTGTGTTTGGAGACAGGATTTCATTATTTAACCTAGAGGGAACTCGAGCTTGCAGTCCCCTCCCACACCTTCCTGAGTGATAGGGTAACCATGCCTGCTACAATTTACATATATTGTATTTACAGCTTTTAGAAATACTACCTAAGAGTTCTCAGGGTAGATGGGCTAACTTGATCTCCCATGAGCCTCCACTGAATGACCTCAGCACCTATGATTGCTATTGTTTCCAATTTACCTCAACACCACCTAATAGTGTTTACTGTGACCTTTTAAAATATATTCATAAAGTAACAAAGTTGAATATGTTCTTTAGATGCTTATTGGCTATGTGTTTTAACTTCATTTCTGAAGGGATTTACCAAATTTGCCACCCATTTTCTAAACCATTTGCCATTATTTTTGAGATGTAATTTACTGGATGTATGTGGCCCAAATCTCTTCAACCACACTGTGGGTTTTCCCGATATTGATCTAGTTTGATAAATATTGGCAACTAATATAATATGTTACAAATTATAATTTTGCCTCTTTTTAATTTATTGTGTCCAAAAAATTATACTCTTCACTGACTGTAAAGTTTCCATTCTATTTTTAAATTAAAACTATTGATCGTATTTATTTATTTATTTATTTATTTATTTATTTATTTGTTTTTTGAGACAGGGTTTCTCTGTGTAACACTCCTAGCTGTTTTGGAACTAGCTCTTATAGACCAGGCTGGCCCCGAACTCACAGAGATTCACCTGCCTCTGCTCAGTGCTGGGATCAAAGGTGTGCAACACCATGCCACCATGCCTGGCAAAGCTACTGATTATTTAGAACCGAAAGTCTAAGATAATATTAAGAAGAAATTAGTAAGAGATTGATCTGGACATAAGTTTGGAAAGCAGTAAAAACCAAAATTTTCAAAAGTAACGAGTGAAGGACATTTGAAAATTTAGAGACTTATAATTGTGTGAAATGTAATTAAATGGCAAAGACAGAGTGTCAGAAACAAAATATCCAGCCAAGCTGGGTAAGAGACTGCTTGCTATTAATGTGAACACTAGGGCTGTGGAGGCAGAATGTTCAGATGCTCAAGGTCATCCATGATTGGATACACAGGAATTAGAGCAAGTTTGAGGTAAGCTTTGTGCTACATCAAATTGGGCAGATACAAATAAACCCAAGCTCCACCATCACCTAAACAAACAAACAACCCACTGTAGTCAAATATATTCCAAATCATGGGAGATACCAAACTGCATATTTAATCAAATCAACATTTTCTATTCCAAGTAATTCAGGTTAACAATTCTGAACTATATTATGTTCTATAAACCAAGGAGAGCGAGAGACATGGGTCAGTGACAGTTCTTGCTAGGTAGGACTCAAGAGGCCCTGGGTTCAATTCCTAGCAATGGAGAAAACAAAACAAAACACGCAAGCAAGCAAGTAAGCAAACAATAAACAAAACAGCTAATGAGAATGTTTTTAGGGACTATGAGAAAACACTGGCTATATAACTGAACAAGGACTGGCAGCTAACATTAGATAGGATGAAACATAATCTTTAAAGTGCTAAAATAAATTCATCAGAACAGACCTCTCAGTTCCTGGATATGGAATCTGAATGCTTACATGTAACGTTAGATTATTGCTGAATGTAGTATTCCTCAACCCTTAATGGTTGGGGATAAAAGTAAAGATAAAGAAATCACTCTCTAACATGAATTAAATGGTTAAGAGAAGATATAGATACCCCAAATCCTGAAACATTTTGCTGCTAGTGTTTTGAAACAGGAAAACAAAAACCAAAACAAAACAAAAACTTGGGCTCTGGCTGTAGCTCATGCTCAAGGGCAGAACAATTTGGTACGTCTGAGGCCCTTTAGTGATATTTCATTTGTATTTTAATAAATAAAGCTTGCCTGAATGAAGTTCAGGGAGAAAAACAGCCACATTAGTAAGCTTTACAGACCAGGCAGTGGTGACACACACCTTCAGTCCCAGTAGTCACACTAGTTTCCCATAGGAACCGCATGGTACTGGTGCACACCTTTAATCCCAGCTCTAGAGAGGAATATAAATAGGAGGAGAGGAGACAGCTCTCACACAGACCCATTCTGAGATTCCTGGAGGCAGGGTTGCCATTTTGGACTGAGGTAGAGGTAAGAGCCAGTGGCTAGCTATTTTGCTTTTCTGGCCTTCAGGTTGAACCCCAATTTCTGATTTAAGTTTTTATTAATCATGCTACAAGGCCCTGAGTTTGATCCCCAATACTGAAAACTAAATTATAGAGTGTATAGAGTATTATAATGTACATAAGTTAAATGAAAATAATTCTTACTGAAATCGATCCAGGTTACTTTCCTAACACCAGGCCCTGATGGGCGTGTAAACAGTCTCTAATTTTATCCTGTACAGAAAGTGTCGTGATGTGTGTGTTGGAGGACACCTTTAATCCCAGCACCAGGAAGGCAGAAACTGTAAGACCTCTGTCTTCCAGAAGCAGGACTTAAGGAAATCTCATACAAGGTCAACCTGGGCAATTTAGTAAAGCCCTCCTTCATTAGTGAATGTGGAAGGTCTGGGGATACAGTCCAATGAGAGAGAGCTTACCTAGTAACCTTAAAGTATAAACGAAGGTGGGCTCAGCAGTGTACACCTTTAACTCAGCAGAGGCAGGCGGATATATTTACATTCCAGGGCAGCAGGAGTTAGAGTGAGACCGTTTCAAAAAAAGAAAAGAAAGAAGAGGAAAAGAAGGTATAAATGAGTGTTATTTTATAAAGCCACAGTAAAAGTCCTGTATTTGGAATTATATTAGAATTAAGATTCGTAATAATATAAATTCAGACATTAAGAGGGATCAAAAATAGAATTAAAATTTTTTCTAAGGTATTAAGAAAATATTAGAAAATATTAGACATAGGATCTTAAAATATTTGTATTAAGATATATAAAGGATTAATGATTTAATTTTTAAGGTAAGAACATAGATCTGTATGTGAACTACAGCAAGTTAATACAAAGGAAAACAGAATAAAAATATTTAATTCTAGGCCAGGGAGTAGTGGCACACGCCTTTAATCCCAGCACTCAGGGTGCAGAGGCAGGCAGATCTCGGAGTTTGAGGTCAGTCTGGTCTACAAGAGTGAGTCCCAGGACAGCTAGGGCTCTCGTTACACAGAGAAACCCTGTCTTGAAAAACAAACAAACAAAAAATATTAACTCTAGCCAGACAATAGTGGCTCACAGCTTTAATCCTAGCACACAGGAGGCAGAGGCAGCTGGATCTGTGAGTTGAGGCCAGCCAGATCTACAGAGTGAGTTGTAGGATAGCCAGGGCTACGCAGAGAAATGGTCTTGAAAAATCATCTATCTATCTATCTACCTATCTATCTATCTATCTATCTATCTATCTATCTATCTACCTACCTACCTACCTACCTACCTACCTACCTACCTACCTACCTACCTATCTATCTATCTATCTATCTATCTATCTATCTATCTATCTATCTATCTATCTACCTACCTACCTACCTACCTACCTACCTACCTACCTACCTACCTATCTATCTATCTATCTACCTACCTACCTACCTATCTATCTATCTATCTATCTATCTATCTACCTACCTACCTACCTATCTATCTATCTACCTATATACCTATCTAAAATTCTAAGTTGGATTAAAATAAAATTAACCAAGGTGCTCAGAAAAGATGTGATATAAGCATGGTTTATCAGAAATGACATGAAATTTCAATGTTACACAACAGCAATTTATGTTTCAATACTTCTCTATTAAAACATCTCTTTGTGTTATTTTTATAAAACACATAGTAATAGTTTCTGATACTTATTGATAAAACATTTATTTTTTAATCTTTTTCTTTAAATTGTTTTTTATTGAGCTATGTATTTTTCTTCATTCCCCTCCCTTTCTCTCTCCTCCCCTTCTACCCTCTCCCAAGATCCCAATGCTCCCAATTTACTCAGGAGATCTTGTCTTTTTCTACTTCCCATGTAGATTCGATCCACGTGTGAAAACATTTATTTTTTTATTTTATCTTTTTGGTTTTTTGAGAAAGAGTCTCACTGTGTAGTTTTGGCTGTCATGGAATTCACTCTGTAGACCAAGGTGTCCTCAGAGATCTGCCTGCCTCTCCCTCCCCACTGCTGCGATCAAAGGCGAGCAGCCCTATACCCACCCAGCATGGAGGAACACGTAAATATTCTCTAAACTTTTATCTGTTACAACAGGTGTTAAGCTGGGTGTGGTCAAGCACACCTTTAATCCCAGTATGAGGAAGCCAGAAACTAAAGGATCTCTGAGTTCTAGGCCAGTCCACAGTGCTCTCCACAGTGAGAATCTGTCATTAAAAAAATGTGTGAGCATGTATCTATACAAAAACATCTATTTCTGTTTTTATAGAATGTATTTGAAAATATTCAACTATTGAGAAAAATGGATGTAGTTAAAAATACTGATATGAAACAGTTGGTGAGATAATGGGTATGCTAATTAAATTAGTGGTGCCTTCATACTTACACGTAGATCAGAATACTCAGTTGTTTTTAATCAACTTGTGCTTTCAATACAGGATTTCTCTCTGTAATAGTCTCTCAGTTGTCATGGAAATGGCTTTATATACAGGCTGGTGTACAACACACAGAGATTAGCCTGTTTCTGCCTCCCAAGTGCTGGGATCAAAGGCATGAGCCGCCACCAGCACCCGGCTTCCCTAGCAGTTTTAACACTCATTGGTTTATCTGTAGGTTGGATTGTCTGATAATTTGATTACCTATCTCTCCTCCTATATAGAAGGCGAATTGAAGGAGAAAGACTGGCATTTCCAGCAATTCCGCCCCTGTCTACATCTCAGTAGTGGATTTATGGCAAGCTCTAAAACCATGGAGGGACCTTCAGGAAACTCATTTCCAAGCCAGCCTTTACTAGTGAGTACACAATTCATACTAATTGTAGAATATTCATTCTTGGTATTTTTCTTTATATTTAAACCTTTTTAATTTAATACATAGTGGTAATTGGCACAAACTGATGTCCTGTGGAAAGCTGTTAACTGCTTGTTAAAATTTGTTGGAAGAAATTTAAAATGCACTCATCAGTTCATAAAGACAAGGCGTCTTTCTGTGAAATGCATTGCTGTATGATCATCTAGAACATCTAGACTGTCCCTGCACAAACTTAGATGAAGGGAATCTGTGTGTAGAGACCCCTAGCTTCCTATCCATAATAGTCCCATGAGCTAGATGTTCCTGAAGCCCGATGACTACAGTCTTTATTGTAGCAACATTGGGAACCCAGCACAAACTATAATTCTGGGCCCCACCCTAGATATTTTTGGGTTACTGATATTTGACATTTAGAAATTGTCACAGATGACTTTAGCCCATCGTGTGATCTGAGACCCATTTCTTCAGAGAAAAGGGATAGTAGAAGATCCACGAGCTGAGAAAATTCTGCATAACTCTTAGTAGATTCCATCCTCCGTGTTATTTACATTTTACTTTCTTTTTAAAGGGAAGGCTCACAAGAAGTATGATACCTCCGAAATTACAGAAGAAGGTCCAGGTTGTCCGTAACAAGGACAAGAGCAAACGCCGAGCAAGAGTAACGTCTCCTGTGAGGATGACCAGTTGCATCTTCAAAAGTTCTATGACTAGAATAACTTCCCATCCCGAGAATACCACCAGGCACGGACAAGAAGAGAACCTGGAGAAACCCCAGCAGCTCTGCGCATTCAGGAGACTGCAGGAACATTACATCGAAGACGGTACAGGGAATCTGTTAGGCCCACTGTGTCTTTCAAACCCCGCAAGACGAACTGCACGAGGGATGCAGGCTGGAGCCATCGTTCCTAGTGGTGTCAACGATCTGCACACTTCACAGTGCACCTCTGTCCAATCTCCGAGGTTAGGAGGAATAGTGCGGGCGGCTCTTGAGCAGTCGCCATCTACATCCTACAGTCAAGGGGTGACAATGCCAATGGCTCTTGAACTGTCGCCATCTATTAACATTCAACAAATAACTCCTGCGGATATCCGGAGACAGTACCGGAGGGTGGCGAATGCCCGGAAGAGACTGGCGGAGGCCTTAGAATTGGATAGGCTTGCCAGGCAGGAAGAGAACATGGGGGAACAGAGCGACGATGAGGACTCTGAGGACTAAATGGAAGAAGCAAAGGTGGAAAACGTGAGCATGGTGGACTCATGAAGGAACTTCCTTTTTACTTATAGGTCTTTTGGGTTTTATTTTGTTTTTCGAGATTGGTTTACTCTGGATAGACCAGGCTGTCCTGGAACTCTGGAGATCAGGCTGGCCTTGATCTCAGAGCCTCCAGGGTTTGGGTTTTAAATAAAGGCTTGCACCACTACCGCCCACAGCATTAATTGTCTGTCTTTATATAACGACCTTACCCTGATGATAATATACCCCAATCCCTCCCTTTAAAGCTCTTTTTAAAAGGCAAAACTATAACCAGTAGTGTTTTTTACTTTTTCCTTTTGTTGTTTTTCAAGGCAGGGTTTCTCTGTGTAGCTTTGGAGCCTGTCCAGGAACTCGCTTTGTAGATCAGGCTGGCCTTGAGCCCACAGAGATCCCCCTGCCTTTACCTCTCCAGTGCTGGGATTAAAGGCGCATGCCACCACCTTTTGGCCTGAAGATTATATCTTGATAATACCTCCTACTTGTTTCCCTATGATTGGTAAATCATCACTAGGTGAGCATTTCTTACTCAAACAATGCATGCCCAACATTTTGGCATTGTGATGTTACCATCTCTACAGTGTTCCAACTGAGTTTTTTTAAGTGCACAATTTCTTTTTCTTTTCTTTCCCTTTCTCTCTCTCTCTCTCTCTCTCTCTCTCTCTCTCTCTTTCTTTTTGTCCGAGACAGGGTTTCTCTGTGTAACAGCCTTGGCTATCCTGGAACTAGCTCTTGTAGATCAGGCTGGCCTCAAACTCAAAGATCCTCTTGCCTCTGCCTCCTGAGTACTGGGATTACAGGCATGGTGCCTACACTATACCACCGGCACAAGAAAAATCTTTTAAGTAAATTTACAATTTTGTGTTAAACTCAATTCATAGCTATCCTTAGCTACATGTGCCTATATATTGCCCTTGGATCATAGGGTGGTCACAACTGTCGGTGATCATACACTGCTCCCATGATGTTCTGCCACACCACAACCCAGAAACAGAGACCTCAATATAGATTTGAACTCCTGAAAGTGATCAAAAAGAAAAATAATCTATCTTTCCTCTTTTGAACTACTTAAAAGTTTATTTGTCACAGTAGAGTAGGTTTAGGAGGAGCCAGACTGTTCTGGATGATGTGAAGATCTCTGAAGTTGTCAGCAGCCGCGAGTCACAGGGGTCACACAGTGAATAAGAATGAAGGAGCAGCTGTGCCTCGCACCTCTTAGCACAGGTTCTGCAGTTGACTTAGTTCCTCGGGCTTTGAGTAGGAAACACTCCATCCCTAGCCTACAGTGGTTTTCTTTAGGTGTCTGTCATGCTCTTGCAGCCCCTCCCTTTTCTCCTTGTAGCAGGAGGCAAGTCCAGTCCCCTAATGGTCAACCTGTTGGACTAGAAGTCCAAACACCAAGAAGGAGTTTAATCCAGACATCATTCTCATAATCATAATTGATGTAAAAGCAAGAGGATTTTTATTCTGTCATGACAGGGCCCTTTAGGTTCGGGATATGAAGGACATCCGATAGCTGTTACAGTCTATCTTTTAAAGCAAAAAGTCATAGACACAGGGGGGAGCCTGTAGGTTGTTTTCCAACTTATTGGATTGGCTTATTCAAAGGGTCACGAGCAGTGATTGGTCTATTCCGGGGCAGGAGAATAGCTGCGCCGTGGTCAGGTTAGATAAGAGGAACATCTGTGGCCTTCCTGACTTTGTTCTAGTGACTAAATCAAACATCAGGAACTGAGTCAACATCTGTGGGTTGTCTTTGCCTTAATTCCCAGAATGGAGTTATGTTTGAAGACTATTCACAAGGACACAGGAGGATGAGCAGTCCAGCATATGTGCGTGTGTGTGTGCAACTGTCCTGTTTCCAAGAGAGTGAGAGTAAGGTTTTAGAAAAATGTCTTAGGGTTGAGGGGGCTTACAAATGCATTTAGAGTCTTTCAAATCAAAGGATAAATTTAGTCTTATCTAGTCAATTCCCGCTTGACTCCTAGCACATAGGCTGCCAAGTGGCTGGAACCTCCCCCCATCAACCTGTAAGAGCAAGAACTCCAGTGTTCTTGTCAAATTATTTATTGTAACTCCTCAAATTAAACAGAATACATCTGAAAAGTAATTAGTCTCAGCTTTCCATGGGACCCATTTGAAATGTAAAAAAAAAAAAAGCTCAGGACATTATTGACTGCTATACTTGTTCATTATTACCATTTGGGGAAAGAATATCCAAGTATACACTATTGGTGCTGGGAACAGGGAAAAAGCCCTTGTCCTAAGTACTGCCATTTTGACTTCATTATACATGAATTATAATACATAATTTAATTGTACATGAATTATAATACATAATTTACATAATAAATAATTATAATACATAATACATGTAGGTATAATGCTACATATATTATACCTGTAGGGTGAAACAAAGTTCAGGTTTCCAAGCCCTTGTTAGGAATTTTCCAATAGCTGATGTACCCCCTTCTTAAACCATAGAAAGTCATTACGCATCTTTAGTTCTCTAGAAACATTAGGGCTGTTTCTAACAACAGAAAGGACAAGTGAATCTGATTGGTTGGACTGAAAAGCTTGTATTATTGTATATTGATTGACAACTGAAGGAACACTTTTTCTAGGAAAAAATCTTTGGAATTCTGACTGGTGAAAAATTCTCACTGTAGCTTGTCAACAAATGTTAGGAATATTTGGGCTTCAATACTAGCTTCAGTTGGCCTTTGGGTGACAGATTAGCTCCTGAATCTGTTCTGTGGCCGTGACTGATCAACACCACCCCGCCCCACGCATGCTCTCCTCCCTTTTATTTGTGATTCCCTGTATTAAATTCTGCTTTGCCAAATCTTCTTGTGTCTGCTTGGGTTGATTTGGAGCCTCAGACTACATGATTGGATCATGTGAATATCAACTGCTTTCCTCTATGCCCTCAAGTAAAATGTTCTTTACAGGATAAATTGCCACGCCAGCAATGATGCTTTGTAGTTCCATGAGGGTCCTACTTGGGTGGTACAAACTTTAACTTTAGGGACCCAAGGATTTAGGTTAGTTCCTGAATTCTCTTGTAATGATACCCCCACTCCAACTTTCCCACAAAACCACAGGTGGAAACAATTTCTAGGATTCAAGTGGGAGTATCAATACGTGGACATCACCTGAGGCTTACAGCCGATAGGATTCCAGGGAAAGATACGAACTCTCCACTCAGATGACGCAACTGGACAAGATTCTGAAAAACAAAAGGATACCATCTGAGGGTTTCCCATCTGCCTGGTGGTACCACAGGAACTGCTGCCTCACAGATGTGGCCACATGCCCAGAAGTTCTCTATCTCCAATAGACCTTTCTTTTTTTTTCCCTCCAAGAGCCCTTAGAAAGATTTATGAGAACATTTTTCTTTTTAAAGCCAAAGGTGATTAGTCCCCCACTGCCCCAGAAAGGTGTAAGCCCCACAAGGATGAGCATTTTCTGAACCTCTCTGTTGTGTTAGACCCTGCAGTGTTCTGCAGTTGGTTTGATTTTGGAGTGTTAGCACCTAGCTTTTTTGTCTTTCTGCCTTTTGTGACTAAAACTATTTTGTCTGGTACCTTGTGTTTGAGGTATGTAAATCTTTTGTAAATATTTTTTAAAATGTACTATTCTTTTAAACTTCGTTTTACATTCCAAGCCCAATTCTCCTTTCCACCCTTCTTCCTGCTCCCCTTCCTTCCCCCCAGCCCAACTCCCGTCCACTCCTCACAATGGGTAAGGTTGTTTTGCCCAAGTTTCTGGTCCCCAGATGAATTCATGAAGCAGAATTTCCGACACATATTACATGAGGATTTTTAATGATATTCAAACTCAAGTTGGGACCAACACCTTTCCAGCACCCCCGGAAGATGTGTGCAGAAATGTGGCAGGGAGCCCTGGAGGGTAGAACTTTCAAAGGGCAAACACCATAATCAGGGGAGTTCATGTCCTGTAATTTTGGGATTGGATAAGGAAGTTCTGAAACCACTGGTCAGTTTTTGGGTGTGAAAACCTAACAAAGAGCCATTAATAACTGACAAGGTATCTTCGAGGACAGGATGCCTCCTAGGAACAGCTGGACCTCATTAAATTTTATGACCTTGCTCCTTAGCTCCTTAATTGGCTATTTTTAGGGTATCCTTTTAAATTCTGCTATCACAGCGCATTTCTGAAGCTGAGATTGGCCACCCCCTCCCTGGCAGCTCATTATATGACTTCAGATGAAGCACCTTCTTTATTTTTATTTTTATTATTTTTTTTTACCATTTTATTAGAATTAAAAAAACAACAAAACAAAACCAGAATGAACTAGGGAAGGAAATGATTTAAAACAAAACAAAACAAAACAAAACCCAGAGCAAAGGTGAGCGAGGACAAAGAGAACAGCGGACTTGTGAGCCCAGGTCGGCAGAGGAAAGACGTTTCTATGGAGCAAGCATCTATTTGATGACAATTTTCTGCCGCAAGGCCCGGGGTCCAGAGCTCAGGGGGCAGGGGACAAGGGCTAAGGGCTGAGGCAGTGGGTGGCAGTCCATGGGCAGTGATGTACTTCTTGTAGGCCACTCGAATGATCTTGAAGGCTTGAGCAGTGGCCTAGGGTATGTCTGTTTCAGGATCGCGGTATAAAGCTGGACGGTGGGGACGAATAGGGACCTTTGGGGATCGCCCTTGGGGGAACCGCTCTTCAAATACTGCACCATCACTAAATGTGATGAAGGTGCGTGAGCAGTGAGCAGGAGTGCCGGCAGCTCCAGTCCCAGCGTGTGCAGTCCATGCAGAAGCTGCAGGAGCAGAATCAAGTCCTTCCATGTCCACATTCTGCTCCTAGGGTCTGGGTTCCCCCAACACGCGGCATTCAATGGTAGGTGATGACTGGCCCAGGGCACTTTTGCTTCTTGTGAACCTGCTTCTTGTTGTCGGCCTCAAGCCTTTCATAGGTCTCTAGCGAATGTAAG